TGTCTTAATTAGTTTTATTTTTTTTTTTACGAATTGATCAAACCCAAACTCAAACAAAAACATTGTTTTCAATCATTCTGAGTCTACCGATTGAATAGAATTTTATTATAAACAATTGTCTTGTAAATGGAATTTTTAAAGCATTCTGAATGTAAAAATAAAGAAAAAAGTGTGCAAGACAATAAGAAACACTACCTGCTAAAAAAATAAATGAAGTTTTGTTGAAATCGGTTGAAAAATGTAGAAAATCCGATCCCATATATAAACGAACACACACACACACACACACACAACCAACCAACCTGGGTTTTATAATAAGTATAACTCGATAACTCGCTATTAATAAGTATAACTCGATATGAGTTGTCCCCCCTTTCATTAATGCCTCTTAATCGTGTTTTCAAATTGATTTCGTGCAAAAACAATTGTGTTTTTCCAATTTTTGACGCTGTCAGAACCACCGCAAGGTAATTTTATGCAGTCCTGTGAAGTTTTGTTGAAATCGGTTGAAAAATGTAGGAAATCTGATCCAATATATAAACGTACACACGCACACACACACACACACACACACACACACACACACGCACGCACACACGCACACACACACAATCTGCGTTTTATAATAAGTAAGATTGCCGACAATACAATTTTATAGAACAATGACCAGCAATATATTTTATCTGTAGTTGAAGACATAGAATGGCATTCAGAATATTTAGATTTCGGCATTAAATTACCCATAGAGGTGTTTATATGCCGCTAAACAAAATCAACCAACCAACGAACATTTTTGTAATTATTTAGTCTACTCTTTATGAGGATTTCGGCAATTAACTTCTGTTTGTCTCATTTACCGTTATTTTTATATTAAGTTTGATGTAATTTATTTAATTTTGTTATATATATATATATATATATATATATATATATATATATATATATATATATATATATATATGTTTTAAACATAGATTGAAGATTTTGCCTGATGAGAGGCAACATGCAAAAAAAATAACGGTAAATATTTAATTGAATGTTCTTGTAATTGCACTTTAAGAATAAAGTTGAAAAACAGAAACAATCTAATAGAATTGTATATTTATCGAATGAAAATATTTGCCTACAGTTGGAGACAATAGCTTTGTTTAGAAATGGAGAAAGAGCTGAGAGAAAGAACCAAGACTTGCCTCAGAGTTGCTTATGTTATTATTGATTTATCCAATGAGCGAACGAAAAACATCACTTTCCCCATGTGCACATATTTAACCGTATCGCTTACCCAGTGTGACGTCAGCGACAATTAACATTTTTATTTCGTCCCACTATTTTACATTTGATCGTATCTATCATTTTTTAAAATTTATTTTACTAATTCAGTATAAGGAGTAAGAGCCACCCGGCCTGGGTAAGACGATAAACTACGTCCGGGTCCTGGGTAAGACGATAAACTACGTCCGGGTCCTGGACAAGACGATAAACTACATCCGCGTCTTGGGTAAGACGATAAACTACATCCGCGTCCAGGACAAGACGATAAACTACGTCCGGGTCCTGGGCAAGTCGATAAACTACGTCCGCGTCCTGGGTAAGACGATAAACTACGTTCGGATCCTGGACAAGACGATAAACTACATCCACGTCCTGGGCAAGACGATAAACTACGTCTGGGTCCTGAGCAAGACGATAAACTACGTCCGGGTCCTGGGAAAGACGATAAACTACGTTCGGGTCCTGGGCAAGACGATAAACTACATCCGCGTCCTGGGTAAGACGATAAACTACATCCGCGTCCTGGTTAAGACGATAAACTACGTTCGCGTCCTGGGTAAGACGATAAACTACATCCGCGTCCTGGGCAAGACGATAAACTACGTCCGATAGCAAGGCCTCTGATCAGGAAGTTTTGAGGAGCGTGAAGCCACCTCTTAAATGATGATGGCTCCAGGATTACCCTGACCTGTGGTGGTAGCACCTGTTAGGGTCCCAGTTATGGGCAAATAGTTAACCCCTACTGGGGTCAAAACACTATGAAAGTGTAAAAAATCGGTTTTAATACCAGTAATACTTTTTGTAAAAAAATTATTACACGCAATACATTTTTTAAGAAAAATGTTAGCAGCAATACAGTTTTTGAAAAAAATATTACCAGCAGTACATTTTTGGGAAAAATATTGCTAGCAGTACATTCTTGTAAAAAAATATAAGCAAAAACACATTCCTGGAAAAATATTACCAGCAATACAAACTTGGAAAATATATTGTCAGCAGTACAATCTTGAAAAAAAATATTACCAGCAATACATTCTTGGAAAAAAATATTACTAGCAATACACATTTGGACAAAAATGTTACCAACAATACTTTATTGCAAAAATATTACCAGCAATAAATATTTATTTGCGGTTGTAATTAAATACTGTTTTATCTTAACATTGAAATATTGAGTTATACTTAATCATTAAAGGCCACTGTACGTTACAAAACAATCCAAGCAAGGTAATGAAGCCACTAAGACGCAATGGATTACTGAGTGTAAGAGAATTAAAAACTGAGGTATTATTTCGGTAATGTTGCAGACATAAAGGACAATGCAAATTGAGTTCCCATAATGTTAATTGAGTTCTTGAAGAAGATGGTACTGGATGCCGAGTGGATCTTCTGGTGCCGCACAACTCGAATAGCATTCAGTATGATTCGGCAATGACAATGTGGTGGAAAAGGTAACCTACACGTAAAGAAAACATAGGTGCCCCCACTTGGTCGCGTAAAAAACAGCATAGCATGATGAAAAAAGGCCCCAATCTCAATAAAAACAAAGTTTTGTCATCAAAATGTTTATGTTATTACTAAGAGGAAAGACCAAAGTATTTTTTTTATTATTATTGAAAATTTTTTAATCCTTTCTAGCACGTTGTTAATTTTGGTTAAAAATCTTTGTTGAAACTTGACTCATGCATGGAATAATAATACAACACAAAATGTACTTAGAACAAAATGTATTGAAACAAGAAAGTGTACACAATATTTACATATAGTCTTTTGTATATTCCTGGTAAGACCGCTCCTGGAGAATGTGTTGACTGAGTCGCAGTCGGGCAGAGTCTCTGGTTGAATCTCTTGATTCCTCCCTCTCTTCCCGATACCAACCATATTTATATAGTCGGTACTCCACGAGGCAAATTAGGTGGATCCTACCGCAACAATCTTGCAATTATTTGACTTTTAATTCAGTTCTGTTTCATCATTACCGTCTTTGCAAAACATCCCTTCAAAATATCAAAAAAAATGTTTACTTTTCTTAATTGCTATTTTACTAAATATTCATATTTTATGCATTTATTTTAGTTTGGGTTATACTTAAATTAATTAATTTTTTATTAAAGGTAGTAAACTTAAGGACCTAGAAACGAAATGCAAATTTTACAAAGTTTCTTGAAAACCTAACTAAAAGTCAATAAAATATTAAATAATTGCTGAAAATATGTTAATTTGTATATTACTAGGTAGCTAAAAACTAAAAAAAAACTGTTCGATTAGATTTCATAAATGTATGTCAATTCTGGCCATCCATAAGAGCTGTCATCACATTGCAAGCCTTTCGATAAATCAATAAAGATCAAAGAGGGGACCCATCGTTAAGATATACTTGTATATTGTTTTTTTTATGCTATGAGTAATATTTATTTCAAATCAGATTAATTTAACTTTAAATTGTCTAATTTACTCAAATAACGTGTTACAAATCTATAATTTAATTTTGAAAGAATTTTAAACCTGATAAATTTGTTTGTTTACAAATTTCTTAAACTTAAGAAAATGTCCGCTTTTAAGCGGACATTAAAATTTTTTTAAAAAATCGAGCAATTATTTGACATTCCAATCTATATAAATTCTATTTGAAATATACCAGAATATTTTACTTACTGGAAATAATAAATTTAATCGTTTAACTTTCAGTTAAAACTAGAAAGAAATCTTCAAGAATGCTTTTTCATTTTTAAAATTTAATTTTTAAACTTAGGTATCGAAAATTCGGTGGAGGTACGTAAAGAAGCAAATATAAATCTATAATTCCTATGCCTAAAAATTATAAAACGCTATTGAAAACACAGGTAAACTGGAATTGGAAGTCCGAGATATTTACACGCATCTTAGTAAGTTTTACATACTTCTATTAAATACAGGGTGTCCCCTCAAAATTGACATCATTTAAATGCGAATATCTGAGTAACTACATGTCCCAGGCAAACGAAAATTAATAGGCTCCACGTTGACCAATGAAAGATTTATTATCAAAATTCAAACAAGGTAAAAGTGAGGTAGATTTTATAACCGATTTCACGAAGTTTCACAAATGTTTAATATGCGCAGCACCTGTGACACGACACCCGTCAAGGTGGTAGTCCAGCTCCTGCCAAACACGCTGTAGAATATCTTGCGTAACATTCTCCAGAGCGTCAGTGTTTTTCTGCTTAGGCTTGTAGAAAGATTTGGGATATAGACATATCTTTTCACATAGTCCCATAGAAAAAAATCACAGGTGAATATGGTGGCTATTTCAACAGCACATTGTCGTTACCACTGACACGCCCGATCCATCTTCCTGATTGATTTTCACTGAGAAAAGTCTGCACAGTCAATTTAGTTTTGACACATTTTGTTAACATTTAAGATAATTTGAGCGTTGTTATTAGACCACAAAATGATGTCAATATTTTTCGGACACCCTGTATATTATAATTAAAGAAGAGGAATTATTTTTTAATTGTCCTTTCTTGGGTATGGGCGAGGGAAGTTATTTTTTTTTCGTGTATGTATTTATAAGTATACTTAATAGGGTTGATTAATTAAAGCAATTATTATTATTTTGGCGAATTCGTTCTTGCGGAGATAACAAATTGTCGTTATTTTTAGCAAGAGTCGAATTTATTAGATTGTTTTTTAAATGACTTTCCCATCGGTGCAAACAGTAAGGGTTTCGACAGTGAATTGAAAGACTACAAGTTGAATAAAAACAAAAAGAAAGAAAGAAAGAAAGAAAGAAAGAAAGAAAGAAAGAAAGAAAGAAAGAAAGAAAGATAAGAAACATAATTACAACGACAGTGAGAGAGAAAAGAAGGAAAAGAAAGACAATCAGTGAAATGAGAAAGGAGTGAGCGAGATAATGAGGAAAAGGGAGTGAGCGAATTAAATAAAAAGAAAGAAAGAAAGACCGAAATAAATAAAGAAAGAAAGAAAAAACGGAAAAAAAAGAAAGAACGAAAGAGGGAACGAAAGGAAGAGAGAACGAAAGAAAAAAGAACAAACGAAAACGAACCAAAGAAAGAAAGAAAGAAAGAAAGAAAGAAAGAAAGAAAGAACGGAAGAAAGAAAGAACGAACGAACTAACGAAGGAAAAAATGAAATAAAAGTAAGAAAGCACGAAAGAAAGAAAGACAATGAGAGATGGAAACAGGAAAAAAGAAAATGAGAGAAATATAGAGAATGAAAAAGAAAGATACTGAGATAAATCGTAAAGAAAAAAGAGGATGAGCGAAAGAGAGAGCGGAAATAAATAAATTTAAATTAAACGCATTTTTTGGTTGGTTGGTTGGTTGGTTGGTTGCTCTTCTAACAAATAAACCTCCGTAGTATATAAAACAATTCTGACTTATTCCTGACTAATTCTTTCCTGACTAATTCTTTCCTTTCCATATATTGTTACTCATAAGACGAACAGAAATGAGTACTGTGAAACAATATTGAGTAATCTTACTATATGGAAAAGAATCATTTTTACATCAAATCATTACATGTAATATGAAATGGATGCTCTTTGACAAGTGTAAGAGAATAAGCCATTGATAAGATGCAAATGAATCATCAAAACAATACCTAAAACATCTACTGCACCTTAAAAAGTTAATGGTTCCTGTACAGTGGTCTTTCAAAGGGGTTATTCATTATTCATTTTTGCCTCAAGGGAAAATAATAGCAGCCTTGTATTGTATAGAAATTGAGTGTATGCACGAAACATTGAAAAAGAACCATCCTAGACTTGTGAATAGGGATGGCCCAATTTTGCTGCACTGACACACACTTCTCAATCAACTGCCCGGATGTTGCATAGCCTGAATTATGAAACTGTGCCTCCTCCTCCTCCATATTCACCTGATATCTCGCCTACTGATTATCACTTATTTAAGCATTTACAGTTTTTCACGCAATAAAACATTCTCCAATAAGGAATAGGTAATCGAAGCATTTGACTTGTTTATCACATCAAAAGATGAGAATTTTTTTTAAAGCTGGGATAGAAAATTTATAGGTACTTTGGTGAAGACTCCTTCATTAACATGTGCCTATTTCAATTAAATAAATTAGTTATTTGACATTTCAGAAGCCTTTTATTCTTTTCCTATAAAGTGCGTCATTTCATGTGTAACAACTTAATATATATATACATATATATATATATATGTGTGTGTGTGTGTGTGTGTGTGTGTGTGTGTGTGTGTGTGTGTGGTAAGATATTGAAAAAATAGGAAATGCATATCAATCTGACATGTTTCCCTTTTATTAAAGCTTCGTCATAGACTGAGTAAAACAAAACAATTTTATGGGATTTTGGTATTTTCAATTTTGTTTGGGTCATTTCTCGTTGGCCAGTCACGTATCACGTATTCTCGTATCACGTGCATTAAAACCGTAGATAATTCTATATGTACTGATTATTTGTTCTTTATCTTATCATCCTGACGGATTCCGATCCATATTCGATTTGCATTAATATATTTATTTCAATATATATATATATATATATATATATATATATTAAAAAGAAGAGGGAAACTGCAAACGTTTTTGGTTGTGATGTGGATTTTTAAATAAAAAATTATTATGCTTTATTTTCCATAATTTCGCTACACGTGTTTCTGGTCTCGCGACCGTCATCAGGCAAAGGGTGGAGATTTCCAGATATTATTAAAAATAATTAATTTTTCCTTTATGTTTTTCGATGTTAAATATTCTCGATATGAGACATTCTCTTTTTTGTGTGTTAGTGACCCAAATGTCTTTCTTGAACTGGCAGTGAACTGTTCTGCGTGAAGGGTTATAAAACAAGAAGATTGGTCCAAAAAATGATGAAGTTGTTATCGACATGCACGCACGCACGCACACACACACACACACACACACACACACACACGTGTGTGTGTATGTGTGTCTGTGTGTCCTTGTGTGTATATGTCTTTGTGTGTGTATAATTGTTTATTTTGCAGAAATTGCTCTAATATATAAGTTTCCCTAAAGACGACTGACAAAGTACTGATTTTAAGCTTTTTATTCATTTTTTTTCTTTTATTCGTATAAGTGATTTCTTTTTTGGACATGTCTAAATACTGTCCGAATTTTCTATATATCCGAGCACTTTTGACTATTCTATTAGCTGTTATCCAGGATCTCTATTTATATTTAAATAAATATGTAGATTTTTATATTTCTAGAGTAATGGGAATGTTTTTATTTTATTTTCCGAACACGGTTTCAGTGTTTGTTTAAATGAGTCGTAATTTAACTATTGTCAGAGATGTGAAATGTGAGTCTTCGAGATAGGCATGTAGTGGTATGCTCAATATACTAATTCATGAATTTGATTTGATCGGGAACGCAGTTCCTTAAAAGACAGGTGAATTCATAAATGACATTGCTTCTCTGTAACTTGGATCTTGCAGGTGAGTAGTTGTTGTTGTTGACTATAAGGTTAGCTGTTTTAATTTTTTTAGAGGAGATAATTTAATTTTCTTGTTTTATATATATATATATATATATATATATATATATATATATATATATATATATATATATATATATATATATATATATATATATATATATATATATATATATATATATATATATATATATATATATATATATATATATATATATATATATATATATATATATATATATATATATTTATTAACCTCGAGGCGGTGTAGTGGCTAAGCAAGCTTGTCTCGCAAAGAACAATTAAAACTGTGTCGTGAGTTCGATCCACATTTGGGTGCTCCATACTTTAGGCCTTGTGTCACATCTAAGCTACGCTTGGAAAATCACTATTTGGACACCTCGGCGTGGTGTAATGGTTAGCAAGCTTGTCTCGCTAGATCAGTTACAACTGAAAAGTGAGTTCGATCCTCACTAGATGCCCCATACTTTCGGCCTTGTGCCACATCAAAGCTATGCTTGGTAAAATAACTATATATATATATATATATATACATACACAGAGAGAGAGATAAGGAGAGAGAGCATTAAAAAATAAAAAAGACTGATTTCTCATCAAGTCAACTGATCTTTGATTGATTCATTTTCTACGGTTTAGGAACAGAATTGATAAATCGATTTGCAAGTGATTTAAAACCAGAAATAATTTTAGATTGTAAGAATTTTTGTTCGGATAATAATGATTTACTGATACAAGTCTTGCCAATTAAACCATAGTCGGAAGGAAAAGAGATAGATTCATAACTTTCCCAAAAATATATGCGTGCAAGTAAATATAACAGACCCAAATGGAATTGAAACTCGGCTCTTCGATTCAAAATTTCGATTCATTATCCATTACACCACCCGCACATTCATGCTTGCAGCATCTGGTATTTCGTAGCTGTCACCTATCTAGTTACTAACCAAAATCGACGTTGCTTAACTTTGGTGACCGTACGCGAGCCGGTGTTTCAACATAATATGGCCTAAGCCCAGAGAGAGAAAGAGAGAGAGAGAGAGGGAGAGAGAAATAGATGCTATGAAAGATATGAGGAAAGAAAGAGGCAGAGTGTTATGAAGCATTAAAGTAAAATTAAGAGGGGGGAAACGATAAGCATGAAAATGAATGAAAACTGATATCTCATCGTGGAAATTGTTTGCTTTGAAGCTAATTAATACTGACAGAAAAGCAGATAAAGGAACCACGTATATAGTTGGGCCGATTTGCTCGGAGCGATTTTGAAAAAGAATAGCAGAAACAAAAGAATAGGGGCAACAAACTTCCCACGAGCTGATATATAGATATACATCACCCTGGGAATAAGTTCCTTTTTATTCATCAGGAGAGACACGTTGTAGTGGTTTTATTAATCCACAAATATACGAAAAGTCTGACCAATTTCACCTCGCAACTCTGTCCTTGTTTTGGTATTAAGGATTCTCTCGGTTGACACAGAAAATGAACGAGAGCTGTGTTTTTACTTACATCGTTTTCGGATATGTATTCCAGAGGTAGAATAAGAACATCCACGTTCTACAATATTTTGTCTCTCGACAAGTTGCCGTATGAAAATTCTTCCGCAGACAATACGTATATGTTAAAAAAAAAAAAAAGCATCCCAGCAATTCTTTAACCAGAAAGACTCCAAATATGCTCTCAGATTTTTAACATATACTGTCAACAAGTAGACTCCCCCACAAGAAATACTAACGCTGAGAACATGGGGCAGATCCTTGCTACCAAAATTGAAAGTAGTTTACGCTTTAGCTAGCCTAATAGCAAGTTGTAAGGATACAATACTTTGGTTAAGACAAAGTTACGGGGATCACGTGACAGCCGGTGAGTGACATCAGTGCATAGAATGACATCAGGGCAGTTGCGATGTAAATTATATACAAATATTTACACTTGTCCCGCACAAAGAAACTATAACCCATGTATACCGCAACAAACAGTGTGAAAATTCCGAAAAGAGAGTGGGGGTCTTACTTGTAATATTTCTCGAAGGGATAACTAACATGAAATTAATTACCTGGTGAGGCCATGTGGATTTCTCTGTAAGCTCTACTGCTCTCAGCTGACAACGTCCTTCTCCTGCAGGCTTTACATCGCAACAGCCCTGATGTCATTCTGTGAACTGATGTCACTCACCGGCTGTCACGTGATCCCCATGACTTTGTCTTAACCAAAGTATTGTATGCTTACAACTTTCTATTACGTTAGCTAAAGCGTAAACTACTGTCGATTTTGGTAGGAAGGGTCTGCCCCATGTTCTCAGCGTTAGTATTTCCCAATTTTGCCAGTTACTTGCGACAGTCGGTGTAATGTTCCCCTCCCCACGTCCTTCTCCCACGGGAGAATTCTACACTCTCGCCACCTCTTCTCTGGAGTGACTAATTTTATATTCATCTGTCTAATCGTATTTTGTCACGCGAGCACATATCAGGAGCAATTAAGCTCAATATTGGTGACGAGTGAATTGCGAATCTTTTGCACCCATCTGAGGTTGTTTACATGTTAACATTGCTTTCTTTGACGGTTTTGGCGTGAAATTTAAATGCCGTTTTGGCATAATACCTCACTATGTTGTATTGGTCTATCTCTTATTTCTTTACCACAATTCTTTTGGTGTTACGGCCACATCACGTTGAAACATCGGTTCCTGTACGATCACCAACGTTAAGCAACGTCGAGCCTCGTCATTAACTAGATGAATGACCGCTTGGGAATACCAGATCTTGTAAACTTCAATGTGTGAGAGGTGTGGTGTATAACCGCACGGAAAGCCGAGTTTCAATTCTCCTTGCGTTCGTTACGTTCAGTTACGCGAAAATATCCTTGTGGGAGGTATGAATGCATCTATCCCCACCAGATATGGGTTAATTAGTAAGAATTTATCACTAAATCATTACCTCCAAAAAGAAGATTCTTACAGTCTGAATATATTTTTCTGCGTTAAATAATCTGCACATGGTTGATAAACCGTAGAAAACAAATCCATCAATCAAATACTGATTAGCGACACAGGCATATCTTTTAGATTTATTTAAATTCTCTGGAATATAAATCTATAGGAACTACCGTGGCTACAAAGTGAGGGGATAGTTTATATACTGATTGTAATGTAGAATCGATCCCCCACTTTATGTAGGCATTATAACTTGTTTGTTTATCAAGTTCTGATTAAGTATGAATCAACCCCTTCTCACCCCAGATTATAGTTTAATTCGTAAGTCTAGTATAACTAAAAAATTATCTCGCCCCGCCCCAATCCATCAAAAAATGTCTGATAATCTAAAAATATTTTCTGGCTTTAAATAACTTACAAAAGGTTGATAAACCGTAGAAAACGAATCAATCAATCAAATCCTGATTAGTGAATCAAGCGTGCCTTTTAGGTTTATTTACATTTTTTGAAATATAAATGTATAGAAACTAATGTGGCCACAAAGTGGGGGGTCAATTCATATATTGATTGTAATATAAAACTGGTCCCCCATTTTATACCAACATTATAATTTCTTGTTTATCATATTCTCATTGGGTACGAATCCAATCCTAGCTAAGGGTTAATTATTAAAACTTGTATCACTAAATCATTATTATTTCCGAAAAAAATCTGAGAATATTTTCTGGCTTTAAATTACCTGAAAAGGCTCGATAAGCCGTATATACGAATCAATCAAAAACATTCTTTTGTTTTTAGCGTCTTGTTCTGTCTTACATCTCAAAGTTGTCTTCTACGTTTTCTCCTGCTTTTCTTCTATTCGGCCGGAGTAGTAGTAATTCATATGCAGTATATTTTGAGTAAGTAGGCCTGGCAGAACCCATCATTCTCCACATCAAGCCACAGCTGATGTCCTCCATCCTTGATCAAAGACACATGGCTATCGATTACAGTCTAGGAAACCATCCGCCTACTAACGACGCGACATCGCTGTATATGTAGCAATACGATTTCTGACACATCCTTAGGAGATTAACAGATAGATTATATTTTCTTTTAAGTCAATTTAATGACCAGGGTTTTCAGGATTCCTGTCTTCAGCTCGCCTTTGAATTGGCAAACATAAAATTTTGTGACTGGTTTTAGATAATCATAAAAGTAGACTCCTTTGAAAAACTGACCACCCAAAAGCTAAATGGGTGGTCTTCTTTTCCGATATTCAAGTGGACGGATAGAGGTAGTGGGACCTCAGCCAATATCCATATAAACAGAGAGAGGCAGGAAATCAGCAGTCAGTGAGGAGGGGAGAGTCAGTGAATGACCAGCAATCTCCGGGTCTGGCAGTGAATGTAAGGGTGTCTTTTCTCCATTGCCGATTAAGTTACACATCGGATTGATCGCTATTTACCAGTCAGTGTCTTGAAAAGCATTAGTCGTTATTCTTGGTTGAATTTGATCATGGTCAGTGAGACAAGCCAGTAAACATAGCGAGTGGGGCGTATATACGCATATAGCCGACCTTGGATGTCATCAAATCTTGTGCGCTGACGTGCAAAATGTATCGTCACACATACCTTGCTATAGCTTGATACACGTTGAGCTTACAAAATGATATATTCCGGAAAAGGATATATTTGTTCGAAGTAGCAAAATAGTTTTGTGCTACTGTAACCGGGTAGGACAATCTAGCAGGTAACCGTAATGAACTGGTCCTCGTCGTAGTGGCAGGCAATAGGCGAAGACAATAGGCGTCGTCCCTGTACCTCCACATCAGTCTGCATTTATGGCTGACACCAGCCAATCATATTACTGTGAGGGGGAACCCAGGTGTATGCATATCCATTACATCACAAAAAGGTTTATCCGCACTTTAACAGGTTGTGGTTTTAATTTTGCTGGATGTTTAGTCAATCTTATTACCAAAATATATATATATATATATATACGAAAAGTAAAGTGGTTATATTACTCATAATCCAACCATGTTGCAGGTGGTTGCGGGTTGAATAGTACCAGTAGAACTCGTAGAAGGACCCGACTTAATTCATCTTCCTCTTCTTAATTTTTCCTAGTTTCTCACATACTCTGTTCACTTCATCCTTAATATTCCTCTGTAGAACATATTGCTTCAAGTCTCTTTTTAACATGAGGCAATCGTCCCAGTATTTAATAGGAACATGGATACTAAACAGAATTCCAAAACTTTCTTGTTTGTTTCTACCGATATATTGCGATCCCTTCATATGTTTCTAAGCTCCTGAGAGGCATCAATCCAACTTTTGACAACAGCTGTCAACCGTTGTATTCTTAAAGCTTCGAAAATATCGATCGTTTCGTTTCATTATGTTGTAGCAGAATGTTCCATCGTAAAGAAACCATCCTTTGGTTTATACACGCGAAACCATTTTTCGTGTTTTGGTTGTATATTTTTTTTAACCGCATTTTATTTTTACACTAAATTTTTTCTTTTTCTGTTCTTTCTAAACGTCAATGTAGGTAACCGCATTTGATTTTTTTTACTGTTTTCATGTCCATTTATTTCTTTAGACAACTGTTTTAAAAAGTTAATATTTACACTTGTTAGACAACGTACTTCTTAGACAACGTAGATTGTAAAAGTTAATATAGGTAACTTCAAGCGACTTGTGTGTCCCACTACTGTTTTTGTCTCATTTTACACTTCTTAGACAACGTAGATTGTAAAAGTTAATATAGGTAACTTCAAGCGACTTGTGTGTCCCACTACTGTTTTTGTCTCATTTTACACTTCTTAGACAACGTAGATTGTAAAAGTTAATATAGTTAACCCGACTTTGTTCAACTGTTTTTGTCTCATTTTACAATTTTAGACAACTTCTATGTCTTGTGTCCTACACTTGGTCTTGTCTCTAGTTACACTTTTCCGGCTATACCATCTTTTAGCTTTCTTTGGATTGTAAAAGTCAATGTAGGTAGTCGCGAGCGACTTGTGTGTCCCATTCATGTTTTGCTCTTCTTGAGCTACACCAACTCCTTACTCGCTTATATAAGCTAATATAGCTAATTACTCTTCTCCGACGACACCATCTTTGAGTTGTGCGTCCCACTCATATTCATGACTTTCACATCTACTTACAAAACGGGCATCTGCTCCGACGCACAAATGCCGGACGTAAATGTCAAAATCTTTCCTTCTCTATTCGATATATATTCTTTGAATCAGAGTCATTGCAGTCAGAGTTCCCAACTTAGCTCCTTTGCAACACAGTCTAAGTTTTTATTTTATTTTTCGTGCATTTAGTTCCCGTAAATAAACGAGCATTTTTATGCTATTTGTTGCAACACGCTTGAAGTTACCGCTTCATTTTTTTTCGAAATTTACAAATTCTACGTTTCGTTCAAACCAATCGATGAAATTTGAATAAGTTGATTTGTTTGGAAAAATACTTTGACAAAAACCCTATTTTGTGGTTTAATATTTTCTTTAATGTAATTTTATAGGACTTCATGATAAACAATATTTTTTAAAAGAAAATTTCTTTTTTCACTTTTTCTTTTTTAACATCGAATAATAAATTCTTAGGTGTTCTTACTCTTGAGTATGCAACATACAACTGGCCATGCGTAAATATTTATTTCTGGAGCAAAATTTCAACTTTTTGAAGCGTTTAGCCTTGTTATTTGTTTATAGTTCTCTCAAACGCAATGCAAACTGGGAACTGGATTCTTGTATATATAAAAACTTAAAGAAAAGATATGCAAAAATAAAACAATACTGTATTTTTTATTAAATAAGTATTTGTTATTTTAATCATTAAATTGTTTTTAAAATAGTGGGAGTATTTTGTATGTTAGATAATAAAACTTTTAATTTTTCCCCCCTAAATTTATGAAAATATATCGTACTAAACTACGCACCTGAGTAAAGCCATTTGTACTTTGTACCGCCTTATCTATTTGTAGGTCTCCCCAAAATTTGGTTTCGATCGATAACTATATACCTATTTTAGAGGGCGTGACGAACGAACAGACAGATTAATGGATATAATAGAATTTTGTATATAAATTAATATTTATAATTTCATAAATACGAAAACGCGTTAAATGCTGATTTACAGGCCCTGAACACACAGAAAATTAAAAAAAGACCTTTCTGGTCCCAAGAGCTAAATTGGTAACTCTGGAATACAGTCTAATAGATGTGGGAGGAATTGTCGCCAAAGTAGTAGTAAGAGCATCCAGCATAACAAACCACTGGACTGTTCGATGTTAGCAAAATAGTCTGATTGACAATTAGTACTGACTAATGTGTACGATTCTGGACGTTTTATACGTTTGGCCATGTACCAAAGTAAGCTTAGTAAATAGAAACAAATTATACTGTGCAACACAGTTTTTGTCCTTGGGTAACAACTGCTGAGGCACGGTGGAGTAATGGATAGCGGCTTGGATTGAAGAATCGGAGAGCCGAGTTCGAATTTCAGCCGAATCCATTACATTCACTTACGTGCTAACACTCTTGGGAAAGGTGTGAATCCTCTTTCTTCTCCCTCCAGCTATGGGTAAATAGCAGGACAGACTGGGTTCTATAGCCTTGGATGGCAACTGGTCTAGGAGAAGGAAAACTCTGAATTCAAACCTGCTCTTAGAGGAGGGTGAATGGAGTCTCTCTGAGCCTTGGTTGGCAATCCATTTAGTGATGGTGTCACGATAAAAACACCCTTGATAGCCCTAGCAAAGCATCAAGAATTCAGCTATTTGACAAGATTATGAACTACACCAATCAAAGTATTGGTGAGTTCAATCTCGGCTGAGGCCGCAAGATGATTATGATGAACAACTGTTATTTCTTATTTACTTATGCCTAGAAAGTATGAAAAATGGTTAATATTCACTTCGCACTTTGTTGTGTCCAGAATATTTCTGAAATCTATCTATTCCCATTAGGTATACTGGCGAATGTGAACATTCTAGCCCATGCAAATTAGGAAAAAAAATTGAAACTTTTAGAAACTTCTCGAAAGTTCTTGAAACTCCAAGAAAGTTCTAGAAAATACTCCTTCAACAACGCGGAATCTGTCTGGGATGTAATGGAAATAGGATAGTTTCAAAACATCGATGTCCATGTCACAAAATCAATATTTGAAGGGATAATAAAATAGTTATTTTCTTTGCTTTCTAGACAAGCATTTAGAAAATAACATTTACTAACCAAAGACAAAAAAGTCAAAATTTTGTTACTCTGTGTTATCAGACGTTAAACGATAAATAAGTACTAATGATTTGAAATAAATTTTCAGTGTTTAGTACTGTACAAAATATTCTGATGCAAATTATGGAGATAAATTTCAACAATTGGTCCAATAGTAATAAAAAGCTTTTTTAATTAAAAGACTATTTGCTTAAGTTTTTTGTCCAATGTTATAATATTGATTTTAAATATAGCTTCATTTTACATCGACCTTTTTTTTTTCCAAATCAATAGCCAAATACACAAATATTTGATTTATGAGCGTCTCTCCTGAAAATTGTTTTTGTGCAAACTTATCACCATGCAGGAACTGGCGAACCATAAACCTACATTTAAAGTTGTTGCTCAATATTTTATAGTATCTTATACTCCACCGTGCTTCTTTTTTTTTTTCGAAAGAAAAGTTTGATAAAGAATATCTCTTGGTTTTATATTCAAAATTAAGACCCAGACATTATAGACTATCAGTACGTAGATATAGCCTAAATCATAACATTGTAATATTAAACGATAAAAAATATATTGTGTAGAAAGAGGACCAACCTTTTTCTACACAAATTGTTGAACACGGTCTCGTTCATCCGCTATGTGGAGAAGGTCAGCTCATAGGACGGTCGTCGCAAAGTTAGTCGTAAGGCATAGCGTTTGCGGCGTACGCACTGCCGCACTGAACTACGGTATTCTCTATTACTGTAATATTATTCCATGTCTCTTGTGTGATTAAACATCTTCTTCACTTAAGCTGTTGTTTCCAGTGTTTTCCTTATAGTCTAACAATACGAACTTTATAAAATATATCAAGAGTACTTTTTTTAAGTTTAAGTCCTTTTAGATTCATTGTTACCCGGTTTTGGGGGGATAAGTAGAAGTTTATCTCTTGTTTCCTGTTTAGGACCGGATTTCCGGTTCCTTCTAGAATCTGTTTCAGCTCTGTGCCTCAAACTGTGGAATCTGAAATTTTATTCACTGTCCATTTTATTTTTTTCTCTCATCCACCAATAGGAGTAGATAGGTTCGTCTATCGTCCGGTTCACACCCTTCCCAGTATTTTGAACAGGAGAAGAGGTTTATCCCTTGTTTTCTGTTTAGGGCTGGGTTTACAGTTCCTTTTAAACTCTTCATTTGGGCCTTGTATTGACTGAACATTTGTAATATACATACATATGAAATGGACAAAGTCCAACAATTATTTTAAGATTTTTATGTTTATACATTCTTTTTATAGATACAAATATTTAAGTAAATGCTATGTTTATAATAAACAGTATGAAACAACCTTTACCGATCTGAATGTCCGAGAATTTTCATAGAAAATGACGTCATTTGTTTACATTTGGATACGCCATGACCAGATATGAATCTACGTGAGAGAATCATGGCAGATTGTAGTTTAAAGACAGTAAAATCGACCTTGCTAACCGAACGCTCCTCTGTGGCCCAATCGGTTAAAGGCACGTCAGGCTGTATGACGGTTCCGTATAGGATACAGGTTCGATTCCTGTCGTAGGACGAATATTTTCTATGAAAATGTCTTGTACATTCAGGCCGGTAAATGTTTTTTAATACTGTTTATTATAAACATAAATATTTGTATCTATAAAAAGAATGTATAAACATAAAAATGTCTTAAAATAACTGTCGGACTTTGTCAATTTCATTATATATATATATATAACGGCATGCTTTACTGTTTGGCATTAGCGACGGAAGCTCCATTATGAACAGTTCAGTGTGGCTGAGTGTCAATCTGAGGACAATGTAGAGGATTCAAAAAGAGTTGGATGAGTTTAAGTATGCGTACGAAGGTCTTTGGAGTAATGACGAAGTTATTTCGCCATTTATATTCCCACACGGCTTCAAACAAAACACGAATGCCTACATCAAGTACATTGGAGAGGTAGTGCTGCCCTAGGTCAAGAGAGTGGCTGCTGCAAGACCCTATGCCTGGCAACGAGATTCTGCACCATGCCACACAAACAGGAGTAGTCAGTCATGGCTGTCAGGCAATTTCTGCGACCTCATCACCCCTTATATCTGGCCATCTAACTTCCCAGATTGCAAACCCCTTGATTATTATGTATGGGGCGCAGTTGAGCGAGAGACTAAGAAAACCCTTTGTAACACCAAATATGAAGTGAAGGCAAGGATTATGGCAGCATTCACCAACTTAAACAATGAGACCGTCCAAAGGAGTTGCAGATGATTCTGAAATCATTTGGAAGTCATGGTTGAAGATAATGGTGATTTTATTGAATAAATTTCCTCTTTAGTATTTCAGGATATTTTTGTGTAATTTTGGTAAATCTATTAAAATGAGATGTCAGCGTTATTTTCACTTTTGCGTCATTTAGACGACAATTTATCCATTATATATAATAAGACGAAGAACAAAAATAATATATGGCAAGAGTACTCCAACTACTGCCGGAATAAAGAAGCTCCATCGGTACAGGCCCGGCATACTGGCTCTGTGTGAGGTCAGACGTTACCAAAATTTAGCGAAACTTCTCATCAGGAAGCTTCCATTCCAGCGTCTTGTGCGTGAAATTCACAAGGATTTCAAGAACGCTCTACGTTTCGAAGAGTTTGGCAGTGATGGCATTGGTCGGTCTTTCAGAGACTTCAATTAGTGCGCCATCCATGCTAAGAAGGTCACCATTATGCTCAAAGACATCCAGTCGGACCACCGGATCCCTGGAGAAAAAGCCTAAAGTTCCATCCTATTTGATCTATATTTAATCCCAAATCACAGAGGCACACACACACAAAACCACCACCACACACACACACACACACACACACACACGATAGATAGATAGATAGATAGATAGATAGATAGATAGATACTAGCAGCCATAGCCAACTGGTCGATCATAAAAAGCTTTCAATTAGAATGGAGCAAAAATAACATCATGCTTTGATTTAACAGGGTCTATCTTCAATTATTTTAAAACACTTTCATTAAAAAACATTTTGAATTGATGCAGTTACTGATATAACAGAAGTCGTCTGTATTTATTCAATCGAAGTTAGCCAAGGACATGAAGGAGTAAAACAGGCAACATGAAGACCCACTTTAGAGCACAATTATTTTGGAGTTTTTGAAATTCAATTTGTCAGCGTGCTACCAGGGATGTAAAAGAGGATACATTTATAAAGCAATTGTTAAGTCTGATGAAAATTGGTTGAAAGATCAACGAAAAATAAGAAAGAAACCAGTAAAAATCGCCATTTTTCGTTATTTACACGGGATTTCACTGTATGGGTGGATTCAATTATCAATTTAAATAACTGTTAAACAACCAACTTATTGTTAGCTACAATTGAGTGAAGTTTGTATTAGAGTGCTTGAAAATTGAGGGAGTTTTTAGTTTAACATTTGTGTTGAAATAAAAATGACGTATCGTTGAGATCGTTATGATGTAAATAACCTAAAAAATTGAACGAAAACAAAAGAAAAACTTGAATTTATTGAGGATTGATCGGCTTTATCGATTGTTGATTTTATTAAATTATCGATTTTTTACGCTAAGAACCTATCTCTTACATTGTACAATTTGGCCCAAATCGGTTAGACAGATCTCGAGTGAAAAGGTATCACACAGACATACAGACACACATACATCCTCTGTTAGATAGATAGATAGATAGATAGATAGATAGATAGATAGATAGATAGATAGATGTGTGTAAAAAATTAATATATAACGAAAACTACATCTGTAAAAAGACAATAAGAATAAAGACAAAAGAGAAAATTATCTAAGCCGACGCGTTTCGTCCTCTGATGGACTTTAGCAAGGCAAATGTAAAGATCTTATTTTTCGGCAAGTATTTATACGCAGAAGAAGAAATGTCGTCAGCTTTTCAGATTTTTAAAAATTTAAGAGCGCTCATATATATGCTTTAGGTTAACAGAAAGTCAATGTAAATTGGGGAAGAGAAAAATAAATAAAAAAAAACAGAAAGGCGTACCAAAGATGTGTATTCTTACCGGAGTTATTCTACCTATACAGTGAGGCGATTCTTAGAGAATTAGGAGTTCTTCTAGGATTCATTACTTGCGGCCATAATTTTAACAAGACATACAGCTGACATATTGTTGATAGCAAACATGGAATAAAACTACAAGAACTCCTACAGAAGGTATTGAAGGAAAGCGGACAGAAAGGACTAAAATTTATTGCAAGAAGACAAAATGTAAGGTTGTTAGCAAAGGGAATAGCAAATTACAAATAGGAGATACCAAAATCAAAAGTACAATGATTTAAATATCTGGGAAGTGTTTTAACAGACAGAAAGTGCGACACTGAAATCTGAAAGCGTATTCTTATAGTCAATGATTCATATCCAAAACAGAGTATTAACAGACAGAAAACCTTCATTCGAAACAAAAAAAAATTAGTACTGAACTGTTAGGTGATATCTGTCCTCCTGTATGACAGTGTTTGCAAAAAAAAATCTCACAGATGAAGAAAAGACTAGAAGCAACAGAAATGTGGTTCTACAGAAGGATGCTGAGAATACCACGGACCAAGATGTGAGCAACGGCGATATGTTTTAAAGAAAATGGGAACAAAAAGGGCATTCATACTTGACATCAGAAAGAGAAATTAAATTTCTAGGTGACTTAAGGAGAAAAGAGGACTTGAAAAATATGATACGGTTATGGTAAATTACCCATACACTCTCAAGTTACAAATAAAAGCAGGCATTGCTTTTGTCAGGAAAGTTTCCAGCAGTCATCTCTGAGAGTTGGACATAACGTTCTTACTCGTTTGTATTTGAATGTATTACTGTTTTTCTGTTAATATATTTAATTAACTCAATTTCTCTCTTTGTGTCTTTATTTCTGGCCCCAACAAGCCCACAACAATTTGGCAACGAGGACCCTTATGGACCATTGAGGAGCCCAAAAAGACCACGTGGAAGTTGTCAATATTGGTTCTACTTAACAGTACTTGTCAATCCAGAAAAGGAAACTGAACGGGGAAAACAAAGTGTAACTAACTTAAACCAAACATTCTGAGAATTCATGTTTCTCAGAGAAAAAAAAAGCACTCTTGTTTCTCTGAGTGAGTAAGAAATTTAAGTTATTTTGTTTTTTTCTCCACAATTAAATTCTATTTCGTTTTAATCCTAAAAAGACACAGTCAAACATGGACAAGTTCAAATCTGCCTTGCTCGATTTTCTTACGTTCCAATATAAACAACGAAATCAACAGGAACTAAAATGGCAAGAAAAACGACTCAAACAGCAAAAAAGAATTGATCAACTTCAGTTGGATATACATGGTGTTATGGTAATTTAACCATGCACGTATGGGCCCTTCCAGCTATAAATAGGAGCAGGTACTGCCTTTTATAGAGAGTGTAGTTTCCAGCAGTAGGTTCTGACAGTCGGACTTAACAATCTTGCTCGTTCGTATATGATTGTATTACTGTTTTTCTGTTAACTCGATTCTTCTCTTTATGTCTTTATTTCTGGCCCCAACAAGGCCATAAAGCACTTCCCCGAAAATAATACAAGCGGGACAGTGAAAACCGACCCCTAACATACTTGATGGGCTGACAGAACAGGGTTTAGGAGAAAATTAAAATACAAAACTTCTTAAGTTTTATAACGGGGAGGAAGATGTGGCGGGCCATAATCACCTACGCCCTGAAGGAACAATGTACATACAAGAAGAAGCACTTATAATTGTTTTTATTTACAGATGGTTGTTTTTGTTCTCTGAGTATTGCTTCAAGGATCTCAGTCTGATTTTAGTATTTGATTTGGCACAGGATTATAGGGGAGGGCTAAAATCCATGGAACAAGTTATGGTAAATTATCCATACACATATGGACTCTCTCCAATTACAAATAAAAGCAGGTATTGCTTTTAGAAAAGGTAGTTTTTTTCAGCAGTTAACTCTGACAGTCAGACTTAACATTCTTGCTCGTTTGTACATGATTGTATAACTGTTTTTCTGTTAATATATTTGTTAACTCGATTCTTCTCATTGTGTCTTTATTTCTGGCCCCAACAAGGCTAACAATATATATATATATATATATATATATATATATATATATATATATATATATATATATATACTGCATTTTAGAGAGAGTGTAGTTTCAGCAGTCATCTCTGACAGACTTAAAATTCATACTTCTTTGTATATGATTGTATTATTGTTTTTCTGTTAATATATTTATTAACTCAATTCCTCTCTTTGTGTTTTTATTTCTGTCCCCAACAAGGCTACAACAGACACTCACAGGACGTATTGTAGGCAAGAAAGACAGATGAAAACAACGCGTAACCTACCTAGCGAGCTTTTGTAAATGGGTGGGAGTCCAAGGTTTAGGAGAGATAACAAAAGCACAAAATTTATTAAGCGCTACAAAGGACAGGAAATTGTGGAGAGCCATGATTGCCAACACCCTGAAGATTCACGGCAGATAGAAAAAGAACTATACGTTTATGATATGGTGTGGGATGTTTAAATGATCAGTGGTTATCTCTTCACATCTGTGTTTGCACATGCGCAGTATAAAAAAATGACAGCTATGATACGGACAGATATTCAAAGACAAAATTCATATGCAATATCGATAACTTTCACATAGAAATCTTGTGATTCTCACAGAAAGGAATGCAGATGTTCAAGTATTATTTCCGGATAACTACGTGATCGCATTCGTAGCGAATTACTTTCTTTGTTATTTTTTGTCGCATTCTATCTACGGGCTAGCCAAATCAAAACGCAATCTAACAGAAACATAATCACCGGTAAGTAATGAATATTTTCCCCTCAGTTCAATTAACTCTTCCCTTTGCTTTTATCAATTAATATGATTTCTGTTAATGCAAAGCAAAAGAAACTCGTGTGATAAGCAGCTGCTGGATGAAGAAGTGAGCTTTGAGTAAATTAAGAAACAGAGGCTGTCATGACGGCCATTTTGGTCGTCTGCAAGTTCCCAATTAGACGAAGAGGAACGTTCACTTTTAATTATAGCCAACGCCTTGTTATTTTCAATTTGGCGCTAAAATTCCAATATGAGACGATCGCCTTCCCAATTATTTAATTAAGACTTTCCTGTTCACATCGAATATTTTCGCCTCTGATTTTAAGGTAGCGATTTGCACAACTTAATGGACGTCATATTTAATAAGAATGAATCTTAATTGAGCTTTTCTGTTTGAACTGTGAGGAAAATTTCCTTTTTTACATTCTGACGAAAACTTTAAACCCTACTGAAAAATAATTTATTATCTCCTGGGTTTTAATGCTTTTTAGTTGCCCCCTTTAAATCGTCTGAGAGAACCCTTTTTACCTTCCATCAACTTGCTCCAGGAGAGTGACTTCTTGGGCTAAAGTTTTCCACTAACATGAAGTGGATACGTTATAATGAGTCATTTCCGACGTCTACAGTCAGGAAAGTTGATTTTCTCGCCAGAAACTATCTAACATATTTATAAGTTTATCATTCGTCCTTGCTGCCACATTTGATCTGTTTCTCCTGCTATATATTTAGAGATTTTTGACAAAATCCAAAGAATCTGCAATGTTATTAGTCCTAACCCGGCATCTGGGCTTCAGTACGAAACATAGCTATCCTGTCTCTTTTCTATAAATACTTTTTATGGTAATTGTTCTGATTAACTTTACTCTATGGTATTTAAACTTTATGAATTTAAGCTTAGTACTAGATTGGTGGCAAGGTCTCATTATTTTACAGTTGAAATGGCTAGATGTAACCGTAAGTTCTATGATAAGAGTTTCTTCTGGCACACTTCTCGCTTGTGGGACTCTCTCATGGCTTCTTGATTCCCAGTCAACTTTGATATTCAAAAATTTAAATTCAATGTCAGTCGTCCTCTTCTTCCTTTTTAATTCCCGTTCTTTTATTTTTCTCTCCTCTTAATAATGTTTTTCTTATATTCTCTAACCCCTTGCATCTTAGTGGCTTCATTGCCTTGCTTGGAGTGAAATGATAAAAAAAATGGTTTTCTTAATATCTAACTGGTAATAACTCCTTCCCAGTACGTTTTATGGGAGAATCATTTGTATAGGGACATCATTAACAATGCATTTATATATCATGTGTAATAACCTTATAATCATATTATGTCTCGTTTTAATTTCTTACAATAATTTTCATAGATTTTCAACACACATTTCTACTTAAAGCTTACGTGGAAGATCCTTCTCGATTATCAAATTCTTCATATCTACTTGGTCCATGAAGGTCGTTGTTGATACTCTAACGCCCATGGAACCAATGCAGGAAGGAGGCCACCAAGGCTTAATGCTCGATTCTGCGTTCTTTCTGCTATATACGTATTAACGATCAGCCTAAGAATATTCTCAGATAACTAATATATATACAAACGATAACAATGTTTATGGAAGCATCCCCCAAAAGTCAAGCTGACCAGAACCTGCCTGCTGATCTCTCCTCTGATTGAGCTCCTACAGTTCAATTGAGGATGAACTAGCTTTCAGCATTCAGTGGCTACAAAACCAAACTAGTAACATTTCATGATCGCAGTTTCTCCAGTCATGGTCAATGGTTGTACTTTCACTGGGGGCTCATATATTAGGACTGAAGCCCACACCAGTGGAACTCATATATATGATTCGTCAATAAACACGCTGGGGAAAAATGGTCAGCACCCGTTGAACTTAAGAAAGTGTCTGACAACTATATTACAATAGCCAGATCGGACCTAAAATGGAGGAGTATTGCTGCCACATCTGGGCCGGAGATGTCCAATCCTCACTTTTCAGGCTTGATCGTGTTCAAAAGCGTTTGCGCGACCTCGTGGGTGATGACTTGTTTTCCACTCTACAACCACTTTCCCACAGACGAAGCGTTGCTGACTTCTCGCTACTCTATCGATATTCCCATGACAGATGTTCGGGCAAACTGCATTCCTTGGTCCCACAACTCCAGACAGCTTGAACCCACCATGACACGTACATGAGTCGAATCATCTTCAATCCCTTCATATTCCATCTGTGAGGAGGAAGTTCCATTGAAAGTTTTTTTTTTGTTTTTTTACATAACCGTTGCCTTTTGGAACGAACTCCCGAGAAGACGATTCTATGATCGTTATATTCTTAATCTCTTCAAGTAGAGGGTCAACCGTTATCTACACTACATATCCTCATGCTATTAACCTGTTGCTTCCTCCCCGTACATCCTAAATTCTCATTTAGCAACTTGAGTGGCTTTTGGGCCTTGTATTGTGTGAATAATAGTAACTAATATTTAAACAAATTCCCCTTAACCGAAATGAAGTTGCATTTTCTTCATTTGGAACTGTTGGAAATCAGTTTTGGTCTAATTTGCTTCAAATTACTTACAGGTATATTTATTTATTTGCGACTTATGAGTTCTTGAAAACTGTGTCGATTTTTATTAAACACTTTGGTGCAACTTGTTGAATGAGGTCCTTTATTAAACTACATAAGCATCATTTACTTTTAAGAGCAGGTAAACCATTTGAAAGCACATTCAAGGCCAATAAAACTTTCAGAACAAATCTCTTATTGCTGTTATCCGCTCATTCTAAAGTGTGATCAACTCCGTTAACAGCTCTGTAAAATCAGGAAACCTAAGAGGCTTACTTTATCTCGTATACGTACGAATTAATACCATTCATAGTTAAAAAAAAATCCTTGTAATTGGAACGGAGAAAGGCCCTAAAAACCTTTATTATTACTTCAAAACAAACGCAAGAGTTAAATTGCACTTTTTAAAAATATAGCGCCAGCATTTTCCTCATGTAAAAATGTTAATGCGTGATATTATACAAAAGCAAGTCAGAGTGTGTTCTATAGCTTTAGGTGGCAACCAGTAGAGGAGAAGGAAAAAAATTCAAAACCTCCAACCATTGGTAAATACTAGGACAGTCTGAAAAATGTTTGAAGGCTTCCTCAAAGAAAATATACCTTTCAAACTTGAAAATTGATGTAGGAACAAACAGGAGTAAGCAGGTTCGCCTATCGTCCGGTTCACACTCCTCCATGGTCTTTTAAACAGAAGTAGAGCTTTATCCCTTGTTTCCTGTTTAGGATTGGGTTTCCGGTTCCTTCTAAATTCTTTTCATTCCCTTTCACTCACTGTCGTCTCTTGTATCTTTGTGACATTATCACTGCAGGATCATATTTCTCCACAAATTCTATGTATCTTAGTGGCATTATCGCCTTGTTTGAGATGAAGAGTTTTTTTAAAAATTATAAAAGAGCTAATATAGACATAACTATTCTCGCTTAACGACCGAAAGAGCTAGTCGCTAAGTGAGTCAGTAATGTGCCATGCGCGATACACGCTTAGGGTATCATGTATCATTCGATAGATGACTGACGAGGCAGATTTTTTCCCGCAGTTGGTTGCCATTTGTTTCTGCGGTAGACCAGTTGCTATCCAAGGTTATACAACTCGGTTTGTCCTGCTATTTACTCATAGCTAGGAAGAGGACTCATATCTTTCCCAAGGGTATTAGCACGTAAGTGAATGCAATTGATTCGACTGGAATTCGAACTCGGCTCTCCGATTCCTCAATCCGAGCCGCTATCCATTACCCCACCGTTCCTCTCTGAGTAGATGTACCTAATAGCCAGGACGCGGGCACTTATGGCTTTAATTTTCTTTGTAGCTTTTAATAAAGTTTTTTTTTTTTTATTATCTCTCCTCATCCCTGTTTTGTCAGCCATTTACTGAAGCTCTCTAGGTAGGTTACGCGCTAGTTTCCTCTGTCTCTCTTGCCTTCAATATGTCCTGAGAGTGTTACGTTTTCTAAGCCCTTTCCTCATTATTAACCCTAGAAATGTCAGCTGTCTCTTCCTGATGCTAAGTTTAAGTATCCTTTTTGTTTAAACTACGCGTGGAAATGGGTTCGTGTCAACCGGCTTTAATGTCATAATTTCTAACATTTTTAGTTTATTTCTAAATGTTTCTCCAGTAATGTACTGAACAGTAAACATAATAAAGAAATTCGAAAATCAGTTCTTTATTCTGCAGATTACTTGGGGTTGCCAACTGTAATTACAATAAAAACAATTAATTTATTTTACATCTATTCATTTTATTTATTTTTATTCATTTTGAAGAAAGGCAAAAAAAAATCACAATTAAAAGTTTTTAAAATTCTAGTCAAGGACGTTGGGTTTGAAGAAATACCATAGAAAGATATGAATCTCTTTTCTTCAAGTGTTAATATCAGATTAGACAATTTTCAACTAGTCTTAGATAGACCATTTTGAATTAAAAAAAAAAACTGGTCAGGGGTTGGGTAGGCAATAAGTGATCGTAAGTATTTTTCTCTTCCTCTGAGATGACAATTTTTTTTTCTTTTTTGACTCTTCCACCACGTTTTTAAGGTACAAGATTTGAAAATTTATCCTCGACCTGCTTTCATGAGGGTCGATCGAAATGATGTACACTTAAGAAGTGTTAGACAACCTGTTTCCCTTGACAATTAATGTTTCAACTTGTCTCCGTTTTTCCAATCTAGATTTATGTTCTCTATATTTCAAAAATGTTTATTTTTTTTTTTTTTTTTTTTACGGACAACGTACAATATCGACTGGTTGGATTTTTTTTTTGGAGATTTTATAGCCGGTTATTAGTCGTTAAGTGAGGACAAACTGCATTTACAAAGTGAAAACTCACCTGATAAAAGGCAACCGTGTTTAAGGACTCAAGAAAAATCAAGCTTATTATACCAGCAATCATCACAGGAATAATCTTATTAACCAGCAATTGACCTCAAGCAACTTAAAAATATTTAACAAGTGTGGACTATTTTGGCACAAGTTTATAGTATTATTGAATGTCCAATGAGAACACAACGTTGAAGTGTCCAAAATGATTTTCTAAGCGTATGTTAGATGAGGCACAAGGCCAAATTTATGGAGCACCCATTGTGGATCTAATTCACTATTCAGTTGTAATTTATCTGGCGAAACAAGCTTGCTAACCACTACACCACTTCGAAGTGCCTTATAATTCCCTAAGTGTAGCGTAGGTGTGGCACAAGGCCGGTTGTGTAGAGAACCCAGTGAGGACGAACTCACTATTATAGTCGTAATTGATCTAACGAGACAAGCTTGTCAACCATTACATCACGCCGAAGTATAGTTAAGTTGCGTCAGACTTTTAAAATATTTAATAAGAATGGTCTAGTTTGGCACATAGCTATAATATTATTGAGTACCTAGTCAAGACTGAACTCATTACACAAAAAACAACCTACGATGCAAACTTCATAAATGCCTTGCTACTTCTGGTAAATTTTAACATTAATTTTACTCGAGTTTGGCGCTAGAGGATCGAACTCAGTACAGCTGTCATCGAAGACAAACTTCCTAATTTGGCAATTTACCTCAGGTAAGTTTTAAGATATTTCTTAAGTGTTGACTAGTTTGATAAAATGACACAATAATGGAGCGACGATTACGGATCGAATTCACTACACAAATAATTCTCTACCATAAAAAAATTGCTAACAGACAGTACCTCAGGTAAATGTTAATAATTAAGTTCAACTTAGTTTGGCAGAAGGCTACAATATTAGAGCTCTCAAGATCCAACTCACTTTACAAGTAATCACCTGCTATATATATTTCCTAACCGGCTCGCTACTTCAGGTATATTTTAATATATTGACCAAATATTGTCTAGTTTGACACAAGGTTGCAGTAATGGAAGTATCATTGGGGAGTGAACTTATTACTCAAGGAACTATTTAAATTCACGATATGAGCTTGGTATAATAAAGACAACTTTTAAAGTATTTACAAAAAGTAATCGATTTTCTAGGAAAATAATGAGGAAAGAAGGCTTAGAAAATTTGACACTCACCGGGTATACTGAATGCAAGAGAGTCAGAAGGAAACAGTGAATAAGCTAACAGACTAGCTTGGGCAAATGGCTAGCAGAACTGAAATTGGGAGGGGTGATAAAAAAGAACGAGACAAGGGAAACGAAGTTGTGAAGAACAAATGTCTTCAAGGGAAGAGACTGATAGGACATTAATCTAGTTTGGCACAAGGCGACAATAATTGGGCTCCCTAAAAGATCGAACTCAGTGTTATCTAATTTAGTACAAAAGCCAAAAAAAAGGTGAAAGAATAAGATAAGCGAAGCACAATCGAAAGTTTTCTTCTTAACCTGCCGTGGAGCCTCAGGACATTGGCGATCATGGCTCTCCACAATTTTCTCTTTTTGTAGCTCTTAATAAATTTTGCCTTTCTGCTATTTCACCTAAACTCTGCTCTGCCATTGTTTTACTCGAGCCCATGAAGTTATTTTCTTTTGTCCCTCTTACCTTCAATCTGTCCTGTGAGTATGAGATTTGCCAAGCCCTCTTTCCAATAGAAATGTCAACTGTCTCTTCCTGGAGTTAAGTATAACTTCTCTTAATTAGCATAGTTAATCAAGGCATCTGGAGATGTCGACTGACATTGCATTTGAATAGTTGGAGATAATAACTATCAGGGAAGTAAGAAAGAGGAAGAGAGTTCCACAGACGAGAAGTGCGAGACATGAAACTATTCGAGTAGAAGAGACGGCTACATTTAACCGTTTCGACAGCGAAAGGGTGGGACTGAGATACCAACCTAGTAGCACGTTTAAATTTATGCTGTTTGGGAATTAGCGAAAGTAGCTTATTGGAGCAGTTACCGTGAAAGTACTTGTAGAAAAGACAGGGGGAAGCGACGGAACGTCTGTAAGAGAGAGAGAGAGAGAGAGAGAGAGAGAGAGACTGTAAACGAGATGCCAGATCGGAGCCAATCGCATTGCATATCCTCGGAAATTAATGTTTCGAATAATCAGGTTTAAAAAAAAAAAACTGAGTTTATATCTGGACTTGAACGCAGACCGCTGACATCGCCTGTAAATGTGTAAATTATTCAACAGCTGGTTTGGTCGATTCGTTTTCTTATTCTGATTCATAGACAGAGCGATTTCATATAATTCATTATCTCTATCTATAAAAGGCAGGATGTGTGTGTGTGTGTGTGTGTGTGTGTGTGTGTGTGTGTGTGTGTGTGTGTGTGTGTGTGTGTGTGACGAATGCACGGCCGTAATTTTCGACGGATTTGCACCAAAATTTACATGCACATGCTCAAAGTTAGCAGAAAGGCCATGACCGACTTTGCATTTCCTAACTCCCATCGATAGTGGAAATAATCGATTTTTTCATGCTTCTACGGCAGTTTTCATGTAGTTTGCGGCCATTTTCTACTGGCCAGATTGAGAGCCTATAACTGGCTGCCACGAATAGGCAGGAAGATTCTATTGGCCAGCGTGAAAGCCAACAGCTGACTGACACGAATGTTAACTAGCATGCTAGCAGGCAAAGAAAAATCGATAGCTGCATTCGTCACAAGTGAGAAAAATTTAAATCTGCATGGCACTTTATTCCAATTGGCTCATTCGCTCGCTTAAACTCAACGTTGATTCTGATTCCGCAGAACTGGGGTGGGTGTGAAAAAGTATTTGTTGTTAACATTCTTTTTTCATTCGGTTTCACCAGTTACGAGTCCTTTTTTAAAGCTGATCGTTTTGTGTTCATTTTGTTTAGTTTTTTTTTTTTTGTAACAGATTTAATGTTTAGTATAGAGCTTATAAAAAATTCACAGTGTGAGATAGGCAAGAAGTAAGGCATCTAGCAACATCAGCACGGCAAAGGGCACTCCTTTAAAGGCAAGGAAGGGCAAAAATATTTTAAGTCAAGTGATAGCGATTGCTGTTATGAGTCATACGATTTTTGAATCGAGCCCGGGCAACGCCGGGCCATGCTGCTAGTTCTTTCATAATATTCGCTTTTATTTGGCTTGCGAAACGAAGAAAAAGTAGGGAGAAGAACCTTTATTTAAAACGCAATTATTTGTAGTTTTTTTTTCTTCTGTAAATTTAGAAATGTTTTCCTAATCTAGTAAAGATGACTTTCAGTTTAACTCCCCAATGCTTTTCCCCACAATAAGAAAGTCAGATATAGCATTAAAAAAAAAAAAACCCAAAAGAAATCTACAAATTGTCTTTTTCAAAAAAAGTATCCCCCTCAAGTAGTTACAGAGTTTCTCAATTCGGAAAAGAATGCTTCAACTATATATATCTCACTGGAAAGACAAAGGCAAAAAAATATAGGCTTTTTGTAGCTCTAAACTATTTTATTCAGTTCATTAGCCAAGAGCAACCCATCTCCACAGACTTTAAAAGTAAATGTTTATATCAACGCGTTCCTTTGAGGTGATAGTCTTCTAAATAAAGTTAACAAATGTAAAATGGTGACATTTTAGATTTAAGTAGTGTTGAACTGGGTTTCACTAAATATTTTCTGTTCACAATATTTTTACAGTATGTTCAGACGGCCATTTTTCGACGAACGATACATAAGTTGGGAGAAACAAACGGATATTGTGCAATAAACATAATTAAAATTAAATGTCTAACTAAATAAATACTGATATGCACATACATATATATAAATATATATATATATAAAGAAATAATTTAATCGACAGTATGAAGAAAAATATATGAAAAAACATCAAATATATAGTTTCAAATGTAATACATGTCTAACAAATATCGTTAACATTCAAAAAACTTATAAGCAAGGAAAAAAAAAATCCGAATTTTGCCAATATGCTGTTTTAATTTTTAAGTTTCAGTGTCGACGTCAGACGGTCATAGCTACTAAAATAGAGTATATTTTAAATGAAAACAAATATATAATCTAAAATTTATATGTACGTTTGCGTAACAGTAAAATTGTCCAAATCGTGCAAATGTATGAGGATAATTTTCCATGTTTTCTGAGGAAACAAAATGTTTAATATCTAAAAATAATCCACTAAACTGAGTTCCTTTTTTCCAGATTTTCAGATAAGACGTTTAGATATCTTGACGCCATTTGTCGCAAGAATCAATGAATAGCCTTTTGAATTATTCAACTAGAAATAAAACAGGTTAAAATCATTTTGCATCAGACACACTATGTCTCCCTAACTGAGCAATGGTGAGAGGGAAAAGATCATCCAGGCCTTCGGTAACAGTATCAACATTTAACTCTGGTTTCCATCTTCAAAGTTCATTAGAGAATCATCAAAAGAACAGGTGAATAATTTAAAAAAAAAAGTAGAAACAGTAGAGAGGAAAACTGGCTCAGGAGGTCATAACATTAAGAGGGATCATAATTTCGCCTTAGAGCTAAATACATTCTTATTGTTCAAAGTAGAGTCCATTAGTGTTATAAAACCGCGGAGAATTTCAGTAAGATATATTTAATCATTTCTAAGATACAGGGATTCAAAGCGCAATCTAACAATTGGACAATTTTGCTGTTACACGATTTGGACAAAATTTAGAAAATTTACCCTATATATATATATATATATATATATATATATATATATATATATATATATATATATATTATAGTATAAATTGCATACGGAATAAATTCCAATAAAAAAAATACTATTCTTAAAAGAGTGCTCAATACAGAGTAGAGCAAATATAATGTATCCGAAAATTATAACATAAATATGCTATAAAATCACTACAAAAATGCCTATTTTGTTTAACATTTTTTCTGGTGTCTTATCAATTGATGGTTTTGAATTCAAAACCATCAGTTGATAAGACACCAGATATTTGTACAATTACAATTTTCGAATATTATATATATATATATATATATATATATATATATATATATATATATGTGTGTGTTTGTGTGTGTGTGTGTGTGTGAACAATATATCTACATTCTAACGATTGTCCTCATCACACACGCATATATATATATATATATATACTTATGCAGAAATTATTTCTGACTCAATTTCGGGAATGAGTTATTATTTACACTATTTATATTCCGTCTATTATCCCCATCTCTGTTGTTATGACGATGTTCCGGCCGTTGTGCCCCTCGGCTTTCATCAGTTCTATATCGGTCTGGATAACCTACAGGGAATTCTAAACGAAACCCTATATTTAATATATGGGTGTAGTTTTCTCGTTCCACTGCTCATGTCTCGGGATGTCTCGTCTAGTTATTTTAGTACTGCTAAGTGATTGCTCGTCTTGTTTCCACTGAGTCAAAGTAAAGACTGCTCAGCTGCGAGATTAAACTGACAATTACTTTGTGACTAGACGAACAGATGCTTTAATCCACTGATCTTTAATCTGGGCACTGAAATTTTTTATTTTTTTATTTTTTATAAACTTAGTAATATATAGTTTCTATACTATTATTCTTAGTAATATATAGTTTCTCATTACTAAATTTATAAAAAAAATAAAATTTTACTGAATCAGAGAAATGAAATAGCTATTCTTTGGCGTCATTGTCAAAAATTTTCCTTAAATAATATTTAAAAATAAAAATAAAAATAAAATAGAAAAATGGGAGCTGGTAATATACATACTTATATTTGATATGAAAAAAATTTAAATAATTTAAGTAATTCTAATACATTGACTTGTTTTAAATAGAAATATAGTCTATTATAAATTATGAGTAAAAATATTTTGAAATTGTAGTTAAATAAAACGTATTATAACCCAGATAGAATCTTTAAGTATATAAGTAAAAAAAAAAAAAAACAAAACAAAAAAAAAACAGACGACATGCGTTTAACGGATGTCAGAATTCATTGAAAAATACACCTCTACCCTCCCTAAACTTAACCTCTTTTTCGAACGTAACTCATAATTGATACAACAAAAGTTAATAAAAATGAACACGCTACTGCCCCTGTCTGAGTGATTGGATTTCTCTGTATCCTTGGAAACAGGAAACTATGAATTTATGGGTGTCATTTAAAACTCAGTAAAGAAAAAAAATAATTTATTCCAAAAAAAAGGCTTGAAGATGAAATGGAACTAATTTTTTTTTAATTTAATTATTTAAGATTTATCTTCAGTTTTTGAAACATGGTTATAACTGTGTAGCGAAAAAAACATATTTTAAATCAGTTCATTTATAATATTTATGCTTTTTCAATTTACATTTTCACTGGATTATAAATCTTACTGTTCTTTTTTTTTTATTTATATATATATATAATTATTTTAAAAAAATTATAAATAAAATATATTAAAAAATCATACAAATAATTTTTTTTTTTAACACTTCCGGTGTCTTATCAATTGAAGATTTTGGAATTCAAAATGGCTATTTTTAGTGATTTTTAACATATTTATGTTATAATTTTTTTTTTAAATGTTTAAATATCTGCTCATTTTTGTATTGTAGCACTTTTTTAAGAATAGTAATTGTTGGTTATTGGAAATCATTCAAAATACATTAATTATATTTATATATATATATATATATATATATATATATATATATATATATATATATATATATATATAGATGTATGTATATATGATCATTTTTATATATATACGTATGTATACTTCGTTTGACATTTGTTTAAAATATTATTAAATGTCTCATTCGATTTTGATGTTTCAGATTTACTGGTGGTTAGTATGGGCATTCATATGACATGGCAATTCAGAGCTATTTTGTATGTTTCTAAGAAACATTTCCTGAATGTTAATACTTTGTGTAACTTTTGGAAGGTATCTTTATCGACTGTAATATACCTTCCGATTAACGTGGACAGTTTGACTGATATTAACTTCCGGTTATATTATTTGCTTTTGGTTTGTTTTCGTTTGCTTGTTTTTTGTTTGTTTTTTTGTTGTTGTTTTTTTCTGTTTTTTTTTTGTTTTGTTTTTGTTTTTGCATTTAAAGGCGCGCTGTCATCTCTTGCGTGATTTTTGAGAGACAGACATTTGCAAGTGTTTAGAAAACAATAGTCGATGATGAAGGCATTTAATTCTTAAAATAACCCCACAGTA